TGGCTATGAAACGGAAGTTATTGTTTTGACAGAAATTCTTGTTCCACTTCTTCCACCGTTAACTTTAATGGATTCCGTTAAGTAACAATTAAGGCAGCCTTTGTGCCCGTTTATCTTCTGTCAGGAAGCTTCATGGTCTCATTCTCACCCACTATAAATATGATCAAAATTCACAACACCATTACATAAAGAATCCTACGATCAAGTTAATGAGGGAAAAAAAAAAGGAAAAATGTCTTTGATTCCTCAAATTCTGAGTGAAGTTTTCCTACAATTTCAATCAACCAACGAAATTTCCGCCACCGCCAACGTGCGGATAGATTGGAAGGAGAGGCCGGAGGCCCATGTTTTCAAAGCCGATCTTCCGGGACTGAAGAAAGAAGAGGTGAAGTAGAGGTGGAGGACGGTAGGGTTGTGCAAATCAGCGGTGAAAGGACGGTGAAAAAGGAAGACGAGAATGATAAATGGCATCGGATTGAGAGAGGAAGAGGCAAATTTCTTAGGAACTCCTATTTATCGAAAAATGTTAAAACTGATGAAGTGAAGGCAACTATGGAGAATGGTGTTCTTACTGTAACTGTTCCTAAGCAGGAGGTAAAGAAACCTGAGGCCAAGACTATTGAAATCACTGGCTGAATTATTTTCAACTGTTCAGATGTTTGGATTGTTGTTCTGCTTTTGTTTGTTTGTTTAATGATGCTTGTTTCTCTATGTGGAACTTTGTGTCATTTTGATGAATATTTGTACTTCCGATAATGTGTAATATGTTTTCTGGGTTGTAATGAATAAAAGTTGCATGGCCTCTTAAAACAGTGTTGACATTTTTTGAAGAATCTATCTTTTTGGGACGGGATAATATTGATGCACAGCTTAGAGCGTGATTAAGTGCCAATGTCAAATTCACAAATTGGATTTTGTTTCATATTTGGGTCCATATATGAAAATTGTCTAGACTCGTATTAGATAGTCAATAAAAGAGTTGTGATACAGAATTTGCCCCGAAATTAGATAACAAAAAGGCAAACAAAGGACACACTCGTGGAGGTGAAACTGCGCAACTTTTCAATCGATTGGCCAAGCATAAGATGCACGCTACAACGTAGTGCCCGCAATTGCCCTACGTCTAGCCGGTTGGCACGGAACTGGCTCGAAATTAGATAGTCGAAAGGCAAAATGAAGCTGGACAAAGAGCTTGCTTTCGCCTTTTCGCATGCCCAAGTCCTAGGCGGGGACCTCGATAACTCTACGAGTTTAGGTGTGCATTTTAAAATTGTGGTTACAAGACACATGAACATCCCAAACGAGAGCATTCAAGATTTTGAAAATAATCAAAGCACTCATTTTTCTCCATTTTGTTTCTCAGCTCAATTTATTCTTCAAATCTTCTACGACTTTCATCTACCATCCACAAAGAGTTGCACTAAGTTTATGCTATGTTTGCATTTAAACTAATTTGTAGAAATTCATTACTAAGTAATTATGATATTTATGATTTTGATTTTTTTTTTTTTGTTGAAAACATGAAATTTTTAAATTTAATAAATTTTGAAGGAGTGTTTTTTTTATTTTTTTATAAAATAAAAAAAAAAAAATATTAAAATAGGAAAATAATTAATAATTATT